TATATATATATATATATATATATTTTAATGTATAATATGTTGTTGTTGTAAATGAAAAGATCCCAGAACTAATTGAAAAAAAAAGTAAGAGTTAAGCCAGATGGAGATGAAAAATAGGGAAGAGGGCAGAGACCATAAGTAACCAATATTTGGATATCACTTCCTTGTATAAATAATTTAAATCTAAAACATTATTCTTTAAAGGCCTTGTACGCTAAAATAGTAGTTTTAAATCAGATCTACAGCATCAGTGTCACATAGGAATTTTAGAAATTCAAGTTCACCACCTCCTCAATCAGAAACTCAAGTGGGGCCCAGTGATCTGAGTTTAACAAGCCCTCCAGGAAATTGTTGTGCAACTTGAAGTTTGAGGACCACTGCATTAAAACTGACTGATTCTCTAGAACAGCCCCCCCTCACCAGCAATAGAATGTATCTCAATTCTTTTTTTTTTTTTTTTCCTGATTTGCTACCCAAATTGTTAATATTCAGGTATATTTATACTGGTAGTCTCTGTGCGGTGTAAACATTAAGTAAAAGCTCAACTGTTGACCGAAAGGTTGGTGATTGGACCCACCCAGAAGCTCCTCAGGATAAAGACCTAATAATCTGTGTCCAAAAGGTGACAACCTTGAAAACCCTATGGACCAGTTCTGTTCTGCACACATGGGCTTGCCATGAGGCAGAATAAATTCAATAGCAGCTAACACCAATTTTAATATTGTAAGATTATAGTAGAGAACTTTATAATATGTAATAGTCCACTGTATCCTGACACTGTCAATAACAATCAAAGCACACAGTAAACACCTAGAGGGAGAACTCTAGGTTTTATTTTGATTTGATTTGAGAAGGTTGTTTAAACATTTAAAAATACATATCAAATCAAAACCAAAGCCCTTTCCAGAGTCGATTCCCACTCATAGTTACCTTAGGGGACAGAGTAGAAGTGCCTCATAGGGTTTCCAAAGCTGTAGTCTTTATGGAAGCAGACTGCTGGTCTCTTCCACAGAGCAGCTGGTGGGTTTGAACTGCTGACCTGTGAGTTAGCAGCCAAATGCTCAACCACTTGCCACCACCAGGGCTCCTAATTACACACACACACACACACACACAACCGCAGTAATGGTATCAGAAGCTTTCTAATTTTTGTGTAGCTCCTTCTTAAATTTTACCAGTAAATCAGAGGAAGAGATGATTGTGCTGTTTTTGTCTATCTAATATGACGTGATAACATCATTACTATTTCTTTGTGTTTTCTAGAAGTTATGGTGTGTAAGCAGGTATAGCATTGCCCAGTAACACCTGCAAGACTTGGTAGCGCTGGGCTGACACCCCACAGCAGGGAGATGAATTCAGCTAATATTATTGCTAATAGTGTTGCAGGTCCCCCATGCACCAGAGGACCTTGCATAATACTCTCTGCTTCTAATCATTTTTAGCTCATAAAGCATTTCTGCTTGTGGAAGATGAGTCATACACTTTTTAAGGCTTGTTATTCTCTTGCCTAAAAACCTTAAGGATTAGGAAAAATTCTGCTTATGTAATTAAAAACAAATTCTTTGCCGTCTCATTTAAGGTCCACTACAAAATGGCATAAATGATTTTTACAGACTAATCTTCTCAAATGCCCCCTACGTGTATCTTAGGCACTGTTCATGTGAGACTCCTAGCTGTTCACAAAACAGACTTGTATGAGTCATGTTGAAATCTCTTTCCTAGCATCCCATGTTGAACTCTTTAAGGTATAGACAGCTTGAATTTGACCTCTTTCACAGACCCTCTAAGCCAAGCCCATACCCTGTAAGCATTTAATTCCTTTTAGTCTCTTTTGGCATTTACCATATTCTCTTTTCTGTAGGGTCGGTCATTCATCCATTCAGTAAATAATTATTTAGTGCTTGTCAAATGCCAGACATGGCTAAGCATTAGAGCAACCCACCTGCAAGTCTGCAAACTGAGACTCTTACTCATTGTTTTTCTGAAGTTTCTAGTATAGTGCTTCACTAGCATTGAATACATGTTTGTTAAATTTGACTGTGTCTAAATAGAAAAACATAAAATTCCATTTTTTCTCAGTTCCCATAAGTAAATATTGTTCAGATAGCAGTTTCATTGCCAAGAAGGTGATGGAGAGGGCTAGTGGGGGGTAACGAAGTTGGAGATATGTTCATTTAATACCTGAAGGGTAAAAATGCTCTAATTGAGATTCTGAGTTTTATTTCTCTATATGAATGTCTTTAGGAGAACCATTCTCTTATCAGGCTCAGTGACTGACACTTAATGGACACTCAATAAATATTTAATTGAAGAGAAACAATTCTTTTTTCTAAAATATAAAATAAAACATCAGCTTTCCCCCTCAATTTTAGGGATAATTACAACAGAAGGCACTCCTGTTGATGCAATAAAGCAACTAGACACAAATGCTGAAGAGCCAGCAAGTGCTACACCTCTGGAAAATACAGTGGTTTTAATCCATTCCTTCATGTTTAATTTAACTAAGATGGTAAGTTTTCTTTTTTAAGTTGATTTTGAGCATGTGGTGAAGTATGTAAAATGACTTTCAGAAAATTACTTCTGGTCCTTTCAAGATTACCTCTAATTCAACACACTTGAGGAGGATTTGCTTTGTTCCAGGGCTGGGCATATCACACCTGTTAATAAACATGGCTATTCTCCTCTTTCAGGGACTTTTCAGTCTAGCAGGGAGATAGACATTTACTTGAAATGTAATATGATACAGGGAGCAATAGAAGTGGTTAGTTACCTGAGGGTAGAATAATATATTGAACACATTGATTCATTGTGGTGAGGAGATACCCAGGGAAAGTCAGAAGTTACATGAGGCATGTTTTGAGCAGAGCTGAAGAACAGATGGGAGTTTGATGTGTAATTTGTTTCTGATTGGAAGTTTGTAGTTAGGGGAGATGGGGGGTGTAGTCAGACAGAACAAATAGCATGTACAGAGGAATGAAGGCATGAAATAGGTTATTTGTGGGAAGCCAGGGAAACACAAGTAGGTTGGTGCACTTAAAGTGTAGATAGAGTTGGGGGAGTTCATTTGCTGGAAGGAGGCTCAGGAGCAAATAAAAAAGGACTATAGTGTTAGACTGTAAAGGGCAGGGATCTTTTTAAGGTTTTAAGCAGGAAAGTGATATGGACAGATTATTTCTTACAAAGAATCACTTATGACAGAATATTTATTCAGATTTATTTTTCTAAAGTAAAAAAAAAAAAACCTCACTGCTCTCAAGTTGAATCCGACTCATAGCGACTCCTCCTTGGATTTCCAAGGCAGTATCTCTATGGAGGGAGCTCTGGTAGCATAGTGGCTAAGGCACTTGACTGCCAACCAGAAGGCTAGTGGTTCAAACCCACCAGCCACTCCTCGGAAGGAAAATGGGGCAATCTACTTCCTTAGTGATACTGCCTCAGAAACCCAAGGAGGGGTCACTATGAGTTGGGTCTGACTCGATGGCACATAACAACAACAACAACAACAACATCTCTATGGAAGTAGATTGCCCAGTCTTCCTCCCAAGGAGAGGCTGGTGGGTTTGAACCACTTAGCTTTCTGGTTAGCAGTCAGATTTTTTTTTTTAGGATTTAGCTCCCCCTTGTGGTAATTTTTTGAAATTGGGTATTTTTCTTGGTAAATTAGAAGAATGGGCAATCTTTTAAAAGTCAGAGGCCAAATTGTCCTTGTGGCCACAGAGAATATTTTTCCTTTAGGTTCAGTTCAAGAGTGTGTGGGAAACTATTTTTTTGTTGTTCTGTAAAATGCATGGATTTTTGAGCTAGGAAGATCTGGTTTCAGATCTTACATCCATTCTTTAGAAACTTGGGCAAATTACTAAACTTTGAACCCTTAGCCTCATCTGGAAAATTCAGATAATACCTACTTTAATTGTTGTAAGAATTAAATGAATTCAAATATATGTATCAAATGTTGAAGGAAGTACCTGGCATTTTATAGGCTCTCATTCCCTGCCTTCTTATTTGGATGGTCAGAGGGTAGAGGGTAGTATAAAGACATTGAATACCCAGGGAACTCAGGAGAAAGGCCACCAAGATGGGAAAGAGGGAAGAAAGGCAAAGTACTTTACAGTTTTTTTCATGGTCATGGTGATGGCAGCACCATCTCCCAAGTGAAAGTATATATGAGTTTCGTAATTAACATAATTGGAATCTGATTATCAGAATGAATCACCATCACTTAAAAAAATGAAATGGCTTCCAGGTGTGGAAGGAATTTTTTATTTATTGTATTTCTAGCCTCCTGGGTTGGGGAATGGAAATGTGTAGGATACGGTCTCTGATTGCAGGAAGATGGGGAAATACACAGATGTGAATGTCAAGAGAAAAAGACACAGTATAACAATGTGTTGATTTGTAAGGTACTATCAAAGAATTTAGGAGCTCTGGTAGTGGAGTGCCTAAGGCACTTGACTGCTAACCAGAGGCTGGCAGTTCAAACCTAGCAGCTACTCCTCGGAAGGAAGGTTGGGCAATCTACTTCCGTAGTGATACTGCCTCGGAAACCCAAGGAGGGATCACTATGAGTCAGGTCCAACTCCACGGCAGTGAGTTTGGTTTAGTTTTATCAAAGAATTTTGATGGCCCAAGTATGTATAGAACATTGTGTTGGGAATAAAAAAACTACATCGTATAAAGCATAGTTCTGACTTTTAAAAGTCTTAAGAAAGCATATCAAATATTTGGGAAAATGGAGAATATATAAAATAGTTATGTGATATATCCGATAAGTACAGGCAATCTCCAGGTTATAAATATCTGACTGATGGACAGCTCCTCACCAAAACCAAAACCAAACTTACTGCTATTGAATCGATTCTGACTCATAACGACCCCATAGGATTTCCAAGGCTGTAAATCTTTATAGAAACATATTGCCTCATCTTTCTACCATGGAGCAGCCCAGTGCCTTAACCACAGTGCCACCAGAGCTCCTTATGGACAACTCCTACTTGTTCTTTAATGTTAGGTAAATTTGCCCTCACTTGCCCTCACTTTGAAGTGACTGACTCAATACCTACCAAAAAAAAAAAAAAAACCCAACTCACTCCCATTAAGTCGATTCTGGCTCATAGTGACTCCCATTGCCTTTCCAAGGCTGTCTTTACTGAAGCAGACTGGTTCATCTTTCATCTGTGGACTGGCTGGTAGGTTCAAACCACCGACCTTTTGCTTAGCAGCTAAATGCTTTAACCACTACATTACCAGAGCTCCTTATTCAGTCTTTATTGGCAACAAATTCATCACCACAATCACCTTCACTTGGTGCATATACAGGTTTTAAATTATTGAAAAGACTGACAAACTTTTTTTTGCACTAAACCTACCCATCCGAGGTCAAGTCAATTTCAACTCACAGTGACATTACAGGACAGAGCAGAACTGCCCCAGGGGGTTTCCAAAGCTGTAATCTTTACAGAAACAGACTGACACATCTCTCCCCCATGGTGTGGCTGGTGGGTTTGAACTATTAGCAGCTGAATGTTTAACCGCTTGCCACCAGGGCTCCTTCTTGTACTTAAGGAAGGCTAGATAAGAGCTGTATGCACCTGTTCCGATTCACCTACAAATTCCGCTTAAAGACAGGCATGGATCTTGTTCATAACCTATGGACTGCCTAATAGTGTCGATAATTATTTGGTAGGGTTGGAGAGTAGTGGGGTGTTGACCTGATTGGGTAACATGACCAAAAGTCAGATTCATAGATCAAAACAAACCAAACTCCAAACTTACTGCCATCAAATTGATTACAACTCATAGCAGCTGCCATTGGGTTTCAAAGGTGGTAAATCTTTAAGGAAGTAGATTGCCCTATCTTCCTTCCACTGAGTAGCTGGTGGGTTTGAACTGCGAATCTTCTGGTTAGCAGTCAAATGCCTTTAGGCAACTATGCCACCAGAACTCCTTCACAGATCAATAGTTAATGGAATCTTAGGGTTGGAAGAGACCTTACTGGCAACTAAGTCTAACTCCTCACAAAACTGCAACAATTTATTCTACTACAGCCCTGATAGGTAGTTATGAGTTCTGTGTACCAATAATTCGTAGTGTGATTAACCTACTGTACTAGGCTATACATTCCCCCATTTGACTGATTCAGTCTTATATTGACTCCAAATTTTTTTCCATATGATCTTTCTTGAATCTTTTTCTACATGGTAATACTTTAAATATTTGAAGTTAAGCCTTAATTAAAAAAAAAAATTTACCAGGGAATACTCAAATTTATAAAAGCAGAGAATACAGCATAATGAACCTATGGGTTCATCTAATCTGTTACTAAGTCCATCCAGTGAATTTTTCATTTCTGATAGGTCTAGAAGTTCCACTTCATTCTATCTTTTATCTTTCATTCCTCCTATGTTTTTTTTTTTAGATTCTTAAGTATATTTTAATGTAATTATTTTAAAGCTCTATGAATAGTCTGTTGGCCTGTCATTCCTTGGTCTGTTTTTATAGACTGATTTATCTCCTAGTTATGGGACACATTTTCTTGCATGTCTTGTAATTTGTTTTGGATGCTGGACACTGTGAATGCTGCCTTTTTGAGTGCCTGATTTTAGCAGGTTCCTTTCTAAAGTGTTGAAGTTTGTTTTGCTAGGCTGGTAAGTATTTGTGGGTCAGCTTGATCCTTCCTACTCTTGTTTTAAGCATTGTTAGGGATGTATATAGTTGTCTTTACTCAAGTGTTAGTGTAGCCTTACGTGTGATTCTTCTGGAGTCTCTTCTGAAAGCTTTGGGGATTCAGCAAGGTCACTCCACTCTTATTGGCTATAATAAAAACATCTCTCAGCCCAGTGTTAACAATGGGAATTGTTCAGTTTACAGCTTCCTGGTAGTTCCCCTCCCCACCCCTGCCCTAGAAGTCATTCTTTGCTCATCCTCAGAGAATCTTTGTTGTTTTGGATTCACACTAAGACTCAAGGAGACCCCCTTGAGGGTCTGAACTCTTGTTCTTTATAGCTCCTCTCTTTCTGGTGGCCTTCCTTGCATGTTTCAGATCTCAGTCTCCCTGAACTCTATCTCTGGCTCTTCAGTGAGATTGAGATTACTGTACTCTGCTTCGGTTCTCCTTCCCTGCCCTGAGGTCTAGAATGTGCACAGAGTCAAGTGGTTCAAGTCCAGGAATTAGAGATGAAGACTGAGCCAAATTCAGGATCCAGATGTGCCAAAAAGCCTCCTGGTACAAACCTCATTTGGTTCCCTTCTCTAAGGGGTCACAGTGTGTGCTGCCTGTTCTCTATCTGAAATAGTTTTTTTCATATATTTTGTCCAGTTTTGTAGTTGTTAGAGAGGGAGGGAAAGTGTCATACTATTTCCTGGTCTAGAGATTTCTGCTTATGTTTTTTCATTGAAGTGTATTTATTGAAGAAACAAATTTGTCTTTAAGGTCTATCATGACCTGGATTTTGCTAAGTCAGTCTCCATAGTATAGTTTAACATGTCTCTCTGTTTTCCTTTCTAGAAATT